GAGAAGGAAGAAAACAGTTTCACATCATCAGCATACATTAAGATCTGTTAATGTATAAACTAAAACTAAACTAAAACTATAATTTTAGGTAACCAATTCTTTTCCACGTGATCACGAATAATGGAATTCCTTACAATTAATATCTCACCGGTCTCACGCGTTGATATGCAAGGTTTTGTATCTATTAATGCTCTTCCTTTCATGCTTGAACAGTATTTTTTCCTTTTTATTGTAAAAAAGTAAAACATGGTGAAAATCCTGGAGGAAAATCACGTCTGAAAAATTTAGCTTTCTTTCGGCTTGATTGTGAATATGAGTTTGAAAAAGTACGATCAGCTCCTCTATAGGAAAGAAACAAAATGACTTTTCTAACGACCTAGTACATGGTAACACATCACAGCGAATGTCTGCTTTGCTGAATAACAGATCTCTGTCTCGATTTGCTTAAGAGCAGAAGAGGAAGGAAAAGTGAAAATATTATAGTCGGGCTAGGCTTCCTATTAAATACCCTACACCCTATTGCCAAACAAAATGCTTATTCATGCCATAGAACACAGAAATATATCCTGTTTTGATATGAACATGCTATTACGCAACTGCGTTTTAAAAATTCGACGTCTTTGCAAACAAAAGCTTATTTTCCGTAAGAATAATTGTGTCCAAGAGGCTCAAAAATTGTGGTACGTTTTCAAAATGTAACGTAATTAATTTTTATATTGTACTTATTACTTATCTATATATATATATTCCATATATCTTATTTATTAGAAAATATTAAAATTTAGCCTTTTGGGCCCTAAAAAACAAAAATTTTCGTGCACTAGGATTTAAGAGTAGGCGTACGTCGTCCAAATTTTGTAGGGTTAATTTTTATTATCATCTCATTCTCATCTTATGAAGCATTGAAAATTAGAACTTTTTCTCATATGAACTTCAGTTTTCGTTACATAAGAGGGGGCTCAAAATTTTTATAGCGAATTGTCGAAATGCTATTACTTAGCCGGGAGTGGTTGGAAAAGCAGACCGATCCGAGAAGTTTTCAATAGAGTTCATCCTTGGGCCAAAGCATGTCAACGTACCAAATTTTATCAATATATCTCAAAAATTGCGACCTGTAGCTTGAACACAAAATTTACATTGGCATATATCAGACGGATAGATCGACAGACCGGCTTGTGTTGTTTTAGAAAATGATTGTGAATCGATTGGTTTAATAAAACGAAGGTCTATCTTAAGCGCTTCTGCGTGTTGCATATGTCCGTAGTAACTTAATATAATCTTATACCGCTTGTGGTACAGCGTATAATGACTAACGTCATTATGTGAGGCACTGTAGTCGAACTAGTTGTAGTATGGTGTCCTTACTTGAAGTAGCGCGAATGGGTTGCTTAAGAAGCTAAGAAAGTTAAGTTATTTAAATTTTAAAATTAATAAAAAAGTTTGCGGTCAATGAGCTGAACATCAAGAGTCCTTAACGAGGAAGGCATAATTTTGTTATGGTTTTCCTATACCTCACGCAGCGTGAATAAACATCACTATGCAAATAAATTAGTAAATCATTAGAAAAGTAAACTAAGTGTAGAGAGTATATTTCGTGAAAATGACTTAAATATTTCCCAATCATTCATTTAGAGAATTATGGCTTTGCCTGAAGCATTTACAGCATCGTTCGATTACTTTAGAGAGGCGCTAAGTTTTTTGGAAAAATATGCTTGGATCTATCAAAATGCTAATACATGTTTCTTGAAGGCTGGAACACTTGAACAAATGCCGCAAACTTTTCGAAATTACTTTATGCAAATCGATAACAATGAATTGAATACTTTCCCATTGATTCATCAATCTTTCAATGCTTTAACAATTCCGGATTTGCTGGAATTTCGTGAAAAAGTTGCTCGGCTAACTCCGTTGCAGGCTTGTAGAGAAGTGGAGGTAGAAGGAGAAATGAATTCATCTCTAACACGAGCACGAAAATTGAAATCGAAAAAACAACATGAAATAATTAAATTAACTAGAAAAATTAATGAAAATCTTAACAAAGAAGGCATAGCTGCCGAGCGATACATTCTCGTGGATTTTGGTGCCGGTTTGGGTTATTTAGGCGAAATGTTATATGAACTCAATCATAATTATCGTATATTGGGTTTGGAGACGAATTCTTATCGTATTAGAAAAGCAACACAGCGCTTCGAAGAGACGAAAAAAATAAGTGAAAGCAGAAGTTCAATAATTTATACACAACATTACATAACCGAAGAGTCTTCAGCTTTTATTGAAAATGCTATTATGGAAAATTTCAAATATAATTATGCCACGGCGGAGAAATTGAAAGCATCAACAAGGCTGGCCATAATTGGTTTACATGCTTGTGCCGACTTGACTATTACTTCGATGAAATTATTTTTTAAAATGCCTCAAGTCGATCATTTGATAATTATGCCCTGTTGTTATCATAAATTGGAAATGTGTAATACAACCTTTAAATTTCGTAATTTTCCTTTAAGTGAGGCTTTTAAAGATGCTCTGCACAATGCTCAATCGCATACTGTTGACAATAATTATGTCAGATATTTAAATCGTCCCTTTTTACGCTTGGCCTGTCAACAAACAAGTAAACGGTGGAGTAAATGTAGTTCGGAGTATCATCGATTACATGGCATTGAAATGTTTTTAAGAGCATTAGCCGAAGCTATTATAGATGAAAGCGAAACAATACATAAATTTAAAAGCAGAAAGCCTTTAGATTTGTCATTATTAAAGGACTTTAAAGAATTCCGTCAATTATACGAATTAAGAGAAAAAACGACTAATGTTACATTGCGTTGGCGAGTAGAGCATGAAAAGCGTTATAAAGCATTTTTGCGAAAATATGAAAATTGTGATGGCAGTAAATTGGCTGAAGGATTAATTTGCTTACAAACAACCATGCAGGTGAGAAGGTGTTAACTAATATTGCCTTTGCCTGAAAATAATGTTTGCATTTGATAAAAAGAATTAGAGATTAACTTAATTACATGAAAACGAACTGCTCTTATTAAAAACAAAAAAAAATTGGTAGAACTATTTAATTTTTATTGGTCCGTGCATTAATGCTAAAAGTTGGTCTTGATGAAGTTACAGTAAGATATTTTTATTAATTTTTCAAACCCGTTCTCATATAATCGTTTCTACGGAAGTGGAAGTTTTATATGGTAAAAACCTCCAGAATTTCATGGTGAGAATTAGCTCATAACAGTAAATCGACAAAGAAATCTACATTACGGAATCTGGACCACGTAGGTTTATTTTTCGGATACCACCGCATATACGGATTCTCATGAAACGTAAATCCTTACATGCCAAAAAAGCATAATTAAGTGAATCTAATTGGAATCATATTGGTCCACACTTTAACCTCACTCTATATAAGATGTCCCATGTGTAGTAAGTCCTTCAGAAAATGGTTCAATTTTTAATATTCCATGATGAAAATTAATTCATAGGTCTATTTTTTTTGGACTCCGACATATTAAAGCCATGACAATTATTGCTTCGCGTGAAAATAAAGTGTACTTTTTATTATTACTATCATTACCAGAAAGAGCGAATAACTGTGGTGTAGGGTATGTAATTGTCATTGTCGTTCGATTATAATGTTCTTACTTATTATTTCCTAATTTATTATATTACTATCCATCATTGTACAGAATATCAAAACTAGTAGGCTCAATATCGAATGTTCTTTTACAAATTAGAGCCGATAGCCTGGGTTGCTAGTGCTCAATGTCCCCTTTTCAGTCTAACAATTTATTTCATTAGTCTAAAATTATATTAACAATAACAATATCCATCATTGTTGAGGGCATCTTGCTTTCCTTCGTGGAAAGTTTTAATCGCCCTCTTATAGGTATAAAGGGGTCATGAAGCAAAATATGACTCAACGTGCCTCTTTTATAGCCTAGGCTCAGGGGTTGATGTTGAGTTTTGATTTGTAGAAAGCTATTGCTAAGAACGGTTTACGTTATCATTTGTCGTATTCGGTGACGATTCCGCTAAAAAGTGTATTTCGATGATACGTGGATAGAGATCAAATGCAAATTGATCGACAAAGATAATTGACATATTCGATATATCTCGTATTCCTTGCCTATATATGGTTCTCTAATCCCGTCTTTGCATAGTTAACCGTACGGATTCAAGGCTTCCTGTTAATTCTTATAACTTAATGAATCACTATCCACTAGAAAATTTAGGATATTTTCAAATTCAACTGTTCGTCCATATCGAGAGTTATCAGGGAGATTATAATCATCATTGTTGACATTCTGCACATCTCCACAAACATCCCAAAGTCTCTTTCTTATTACCGTTGAAGTAAATCGCGTATGGAAATGAAACGTTTTGCGATGGCTAATGTGATCTTCGGAAAGTTCGAGCGTCGCCATTTTGCAACAGGGTTGCTATATTTTTTAGAATATTTTCTACACCGACCGCTTTATTGGCAGCTGTAAAAGAAGACGTGGTCCCTGTTCGTGATCGAAAAGCATTAGTTGAAGACGAGGCAAGTCCTTTGCAAATAATTGACTGCTTATAATTACCTCTAATGTTTTCATCAATTGTCTTCAGTCGCTAAGTTACACATAATTGAAGAAAGTATTACATTTCAAATATAAGACCGAGTAGGCATTTCCCAACGTAAAATCATATCGGCTAAAAGAGTTTTCTTTACACTGACGCGTGGCCGCTGTAGGCGTGTTCCTTGAAAAGGTTGTGTCATTTTCAAATTCTTTTGCAGGTTTGTAAGCGATATCTTAATTTTTGTGAACGGGAAAATGTTTACCACATATACTATGCAGTTGCGCAGACGTACAGATGGACAAGTGAGTAAACAGACATGCTTGGATGCATTCTGAATTTGAATACTTTTCAGTGTTTTTAAATCCCGCTTCAGCGCGCTATGTAACAGTTTTGAAAAAAAAAGAATTTGTGACACGTTATGCAATTAAGTAGGCGTGGCCGATTCTTTTCTTTTTTGTATAGCTATTGCAGCATCGCGCGCAGAATCTACTTTCAAATTTTTGTAGATGTATCCGCCGTAGTTTATGAATAACGAGCGCAAACCAATTGCTTTTGAAAAGTATAAATGTTTTTACCTGCGTGCAAAAACTTGCAATGTTTCTGTCAAATTTGAAGTCGATAGAGTCGTTTTTGCGGCTAGGACAATGTTACAACAGACTATACCCAAACCGATAGACAACCAGACGAACAGATGGACATACTTACATCGATTCAGAATTTGATGCTGATCAAGAGTATATGTACTTTGTGGGGTCGCTGAAACTTCTCTCCGAGCGCTGCAAACGTTTTGACACAATGAATATCATCCTTTGGTGATGGATATAAAAAAACGATACGAATTAATCTTAAATATAATACGAATTAAATTTTGACATGGCAAAAAAGAAAACTAAAAATATTTTTTTAAATTTTTTTTAAATTTTTTTGCATAGAAAATGTGCGAGAATCTGGTGCTATATGATCGGTTATACTATATGCAAGAACTTGGTCAAAATTTACAAATGAGAATACAAGTGCATTACGAAAAGTTACTTGATGAAGAATTATCGCCGCGTTGCCACGTATTAATCGCCAAAAAACTGCAATAGCTGAAACTTTGTATCCGCCCAATCATACTTGATTTCCTTTTTGCATGAAAAATGTAAATATGTCAACAATTTATATAAATGTAATTATATGTGTGCGTGCATATTAAACATATTACCGTCATTGAGAGTAAATAAAAAAATAAAGCTACTTAAAGCGAATATTTCTTTAGTTATATTCGGCCGTGGCCGAATCTCCTATACCCACCACTACGTTTTTCGTATTCTGCTCTTCAAGATCTTTTTTTTTGATACCCATGTCGCTGGTATTATTAAGAGAAAATTAATCTACCAGGTGGCGGTGTCTACCATATTCTTTTTAGCATTAACTCATTTATAGGCCGATAATATATCTTTCTTTAAGGAATGTAAAAAATAGTTTTAAAAATTCTATCTTGTGTGCGTTATGATAAATAGGCATTAAATTTCAAAAAAGTTAAAACTTCGCATGGGCATAAATATTTTCCATTTTTACACGAAAAGAGTAAACAGTTTTGTAAAGCAAAAGTGGGAAATTTTAATATTTATAACTTCTGAGAAATTCGCAAAAACCCACAAATTTTTGTTATGAAAAACGGAGTTGTGTTCAATTTATGTTTCACTGCGGGCTTCTGTTCTGACCGATTTGGCCCACTTTGAATGCCAACCTGCATGCAGGAACTTCCAATGTTTCTACCAAATTTGAAGTGGAAATTTACATTTTTGCGACCAAGACAGTGCCAACAGCACACACTGCACAATCAAACAAAGTCATAGACTGCCTGACATAGCTAAATCAACTCAGAATTTCAGGCTGCTCAAGAATACATACATTTTATATGGCCTTTGAAGCTTCCCTTTTGGTGTTACACACATTATGGAGAAAAACAAAATGACTATATATAATTACCTCGTTTATTATCATTTATTTATAATTACTTCTCTTAGAAAAAAAGCTTTTTTTTATACCCATTTTCACAGCAGAAAGATTTTGGCGATCAATATCAAAATTTGAATCTATTTAGGCATGTCAATTCTTCCATCCATTCATGTTTGTAACACAAATTTCAAGCTTTGCAAAAACTTTAAAAGTTATTGCAGGCAACCTACATGGCACAACTCTTCAGATATTTTGATAGAATGGAACACCGGCGTGTTCTAGCCAACAGCCGAAATCTATTGAGTATGACTTGGGTGGGACCTCATTCGACCTTGTTTCGAAAAGGTCGATCTACGAATAACTATGGAGTGGTGTAGGGTAATGTAAACATTATGTTTGCACTGGTATACTTTTTCCGTTTAGGCACAATAACCTGTTATTTTTCACATTTTGCTATAATATTTGTTTATGCTCTTTTAAATAAATCGTAAAGGAAAAGAAAATTTCTTTGACTATAAGGGTTTTGACCAGAGCCGAATGTAATTTTCTCCTTTCTCTTTAGGTAAAATAGTAACTCGGCTTTGATTTCTTTTAATGAGAAATGTATACGTTTTTTCTACTATGAGTTTATTCATTATTCATCATTATTTTGTGACCTACGATCTAAACGATTATTTACGTGCAAAGTTAGTGATTTATAATCCTAATTTGGCGATAAAAATATGATGTTGTGTACATTTGTAGTCTCCAAGGCATAAATTTGGCTGTTAAATAAAATAATAAAATTAGTGTTTCTTTCTGCTGTAATAATGAGTAAAAATAGAATATCTATTTTTTAATTATGTTAATGCGATATATATTTTTTCTTGTTAAGTAAATTCATCTCGTTTTTCACCCATGTATTGCTTTTAGTTATTTGGTTTTAACTGCATCAAATTCAATGTAACATCTGTCAATTCTGATGTGATTAATATTTCTCTTTAACTTATATTTTCCCATAAAAGCATACACATCCTACCTTTCGTTATTGCGGACAAAAATAGCATTCACTTTTAATCATATGATGGATAGGTAATTGTTTAATAATGTTATACGCACTCATAATTTTATTGGCAATAAGTGCATTCATTAACTGATTGCCATTGGCCGGACCATCTGCAATAAACAACAATTAAGTTTTGTGCATAAGAAGGAAGCAACTAATGGAACTAATTACGCAAATTGTGGCCAAGCTTTATACTTAGTGAATGTTTGATATAATTTCAACAGATATGTACTCGCTTTCGAGCAAATCGTGAATTTGTGAAGTTTAAATAAAAAAAAATAACTAAAAATTTGCAAAAGAATTGCAAGCTTCTAATTGATAAGAAAAACGTGCATGCTAGACTATGTTGTTGATTTCTTTGTAACATGGGGCCCATATATACCGTAGTGCACGGGTGTTCTTGATAGTATTGAGATTGAATCATCCTTGCACATCGGGCCTTTATTCTCATACTAACATTGACGAATGACAGTTGCTGTTTCTATACAAAGGCCCCATAAAAGAGATTATATATTGTGAGGGCTATTTTTGCTCAAAACCTGTTGCTGGGGTAGCTCAGCGGCTCCAGGTTTTTGTTTCACAAGACGTTTCTTTGTTTCGTTTTTTGTACTAAATATCGTTGCAAGTAATTTATGAACGAGTTTTTATTAGTATAAATTTATTTTGACACTTTGTCTTATATTATCATTATTATTTTCTATTTATTCCTAATGACTTTATTTTTTCTTACTTATTATAATATTCTTTCTGAAAATGGGTTCCTTCGTTCTACCTCAAATATACATTAATTTTCGTGATTCAAGGATCTATTACCACCGTCATGGTGACCGCACCAGCCAGACTAAAACAGCGACTCTTTAACTCACTCTGCAAGCTATACCCCTTCTCTAACTTACCCTTGTCCTGATAAACCCACTAAACTTCGGCTTAAGCAAATTATTCTCAACTTCTTCTGCTTTCTCTTTACTTTAATATCTCTTTACACTAATTCTAACTCTCTTAGCTTAACTTGCTCTAATTCTAAACCTCTTGGCCTAACTTACTCTAGCATTTCCCCTCAGAGACGAAGAACCTGTGAGGCAAAAACGAGGGACGACTTTGGTTCCTCCCAATATATTCTTGATGAGTAAAAGATTCGGACTTAGCATATACATAGCTTAGTTGACAATCACAGCAATCACGTCCATAGTAACTAAGAAACGGCACTTTACCCATATACACACGCTCATAAGCAATGTTAGTCATGGAGATGATTAGTTCTTAACAGCGCTGCCTGATTTTCGTACTTTAAATTTCTTGTATTATTGCTTCGAAAATATTGTGGAGTATGTGTACTGATTCGAATCTTTTCAGCAGACACGACGGTATTGTTTGCAAACGAAAACAAAGTTTTCTTAAGAATTTAAATAATTTTGCTAGCATCTGTCAAGATGGTAATGCTTCCTTGTGGAAAATTTTCTTAAAACGAATAATACTTATGTGCACAGTGGCTTCTAGCTGCTCCTCGGCAAGATAATCGATTATAGGGAAGAAACTTTAGTAGAGAACGTCGTTCATAAAATATTAAGTAAGATGTCGATAGATACTCTCCTACGATTTTCTCAGTAAAAGCCTTATGTCATTACTGTTGATTTTGCAAAGGATTCTGTTGAAGTCAGTTTATCTGCCTTATGAGAGTTTCATAAAGAAGCTAATCGATGCTGGCCGAACTGGGAATGCTTTGGGCTATATCGTGGATGTGCGACTTACATCGATTATTGCCAGACCACTAAAAATGTGTGTTGTCTGGCATTTGTGAGATAATGTCTTTTCTATTGATCAATTATACCTCACTACCAGGAGCTCATGGTAAATGGTTCCCTAAGTCCCAGTAATATTTTACGTGGTGTCAAAGCGGGCTTTATCTTTTCTAGTGCAGCTTCATCCACGGTCTTTTCCTTTTTTTATTACAAATCTTTTCCTTTTTTGATCACAAATTGATTGTAAATCGATCTAAACCTGTCTGTCCTCCTGTCCGTCTTATATTCTTGTGTTCATCCAAGCTGCTTTGACCCAGAGCGCTATTGAATCGAATCAATATTTCGACCATTTCCAATACAACACATTTATTTGAAAATTGGTTATATACATAACAGTACTTTTTTAAAGGGCAAGGATGACTATTGAATGCCCTTTACCACACACAGTTCTTATTTTTATATAAAATTACTATTATGGGTCCGCATAATAAAATTTAGGTTTTTCTGCCCTATGAAGAATCAATTTTCGCGAAAATCCTTGTCATGGTAGGATCCAAAAAATAAGCCAAGATGTTAAAATTTAATTAATTTTTTTAGTTAATTTTTTATCTTGAATTACTGTTATGATTTGATTTGATGAAGCATTCAAAATTAGACCTCTTTGTCATATGAACTTTAGTTTTCGTTACTCCAAAAAATTGCTGCAGCCTGCCGGTTGGTTTTCAAACCAATTTACAATGTCAAATTACTATTACTTAGCCACTTTTGTTAAGAAATTTTGAATATTGCAATTTTTACCACGTAACGACTTTTCAAAATATGACTGATCCGAACCATTTCTAATAGCCAAAGTAAGTCTGTGTACCAAATTTCATCAAAATGCCTCAAAAATTGCGACCTGTAGCTTGAACACAAATTTTAAATGGACAGACATCAGACAGACAGGCAAGCTTAGATCAATTCAGATTATCATTCTGAATCGATCGGCATTAAAATATTTGGGCTTTCTTAAGTTACATACGACCGCTATAACTAAATATACCTTGTACCACAAGTGGTGCAGGGTATAATGATTTATCCCTTCATTTATTTGATATCCGAATATCAATTTTATTTTGCTTTAGGACAATAGTTCAAACCTAGCTTTTGATCAATACTCAGTTCCGCACAGATGTCATAAGAAGAAATGAGATGGCTTTTCTGAATTTTATTTAAGGATTTCACTGGTCTTCTCAACAAATGGTCTCTCGGAGTGCGGTCTCGTCTTTAACACAAAGAATTCCAGAAGTTTCCAGCTCCAATTTTCGAAACGCAAATACTCTTGATCGAATTAACAGATGTTGCAAAGTCTTTTTTTCAATTATCAAGGGATTAGCGACTATCAAATGTCATAAAGGCATCTATTTGGAAAAGGCATGAAGTTTTTTCCTTAACTTATAGATTTAAATTTTTCTATGGTAATTCCCGTGGTGCTAAGAACACACCTTTGCGCAACTTATAGAGCAACTTACCAATATTCATGTAACTACTTTATATGCTAGTCTCCTATGTTCTCTATGATGGCAAGAAAATGTCCTTTCCTCTTTCCTTGTTCTTGTGTGCAAACATTTTTCGCAGCTCTGTTTCGCTCTCGTTGATTAATTATTTAATTAATTCACTCTGTAGTAATTTTATGCATTTTCGTTTATTTCAAATAAATATTAAGCTATATTACAATCATTTCATATTCGCGCATGACTCGTTATTTCTATGCCTTTCCACATATTCTATAATGTAGACATAATGAATAGTGAATAGCATTTTTTATGTAAATTCATTATATTTAAGAAAACATTATGTTACAAACATTTAATAATAAAAATAAAAGAGAATAACATTTATGCATATAATATATATATATGTATATAGAGCTGTCATAACAACAATAATTAAATATATTTAGACAAGTCTTTCATATTTACATAATAGATATAAATAAATTTTTTTATTTTTATTTTTTTCAATTTTTCCTTATATAACGCAATTAAAATTTATCGAGCCAGCTATTCATATAATAAATTTTAATTCCGATCATCAAGTCTTATAATTTAAGTTCAATTAAAAGCAATGAGGATTGAATTGGCGGCTTTCATTGACATCACGTTGACTTGAGTCAGTTTACTTTTTTTTTTGTGCTTTAATATCATTGCCATAAAATGCACCAGCTTGTTTATCGAAGGCAACTAATGCTTCGTTACTGTTAAAAATAAAGTATTTATTCAATTCGAAAATCTTTGCTTTTTGCTTTGCAATGAACCTACAGATAATATGTTATATCATTAAAAGTTTTTGCTTACATGCTATTGCAGCGATAGTAATTCTCGAGACCGGTGTAAATGCATGACATTACTGTCGCCGATGATGATGATGGAGTCGATAGTAATGATGCTGCTGACGCTGATGAGGGTAGACTATTGTTATCGTTCATTTTAAATTTGTCATTCAATCGAGCGCCAGTTGGGACTTCAGATAATAAAGCTCGTTCGTAAGCGGTAAACGGCGTTATGAAATCATTTCTTGTTGTTTCATCTAAAGATACCTCAGCTCTCTTTCCATAACGTGAACTTAAAAAGAATCTATCGTTACGTGGAACGACACTGAAACGTCGCGTTTTAAGAGAGGAAAGAAGCTGCGATGGTGCACCGGATCTACCATAACGACTGCCAACATAAAACGAAGGACGCTTATGCATTGTTAAAGCACCTGTTGCTTTCGCAATTTTATCATAAACACAAAAGAATACATATGACATAAGTTATATTGCAATCATAAATACTTGTGATTTTTTTTTTGATTTTTCCAAACTTTATAAAGTCTTTAATGTCAACGAATATACATATGTAAAACAATAACCACCGTTTGTCTAAAAGAGACACTTATTGCTTTGACTTCTACAAAATTAAATTTTGTTTATATATATTTTGCAGTCATGAAGTCTAAATTAAGAAAACTTCATTTAGAGAACTTTGCACGAAGCCTTTTAATTATGCCCAACACCATTTGTGGCATAGAGTATATTAAGTTTGTGCGGATATAAGATACAAGACGCAGAAAGATTTGGCAAAGACTCACATTTTATGGTAACGATCGATTCATGAAGTGAGCGACTTGATCGAAACTTCCCTTGTGTCTGCCTCTTCGTCCGCCTGAGTTCTGCCAATGCATTTTTGAGTTTAGGTCATAACTTTTAAGGTACTTTAACGAAATTGTTGACTATTGAAAATGATCCGGATCGGACCACTTTCCATAAAATGCCTTATTAGGAAAAGTCATTGTATAAATAACTACATTAAATAACTACATCAAAATTTCGAAAAGAAAAAGAATGAAAAGATTACGGGATCGAAATGGCTTTTACATCGCAAGGGTTTTCAGTATGATGGTAGGGGAATGGCCGTAGACTTTGATGGTATTACACTTTTTGGCGAATCGTACTATCACAGTTCCACGGTCACATCTGCTACTATTCATGTTCTTGGTGTTAGTAAGACTAAAGCAGTGATTGGTTAACAGTCAGGGGCGAGAAAGCTGCTTAATGCAGTCAGGATGCATGGCCGGTCGGTTGACAAAATCGCGTTCGCTCACCCATATACAAGCGGTGTTAGCTAAAATACTTGGAAGTAATATTAGTAGTCGCTGCTGGCGAATATTGTGCGATATCCGTTGGGTTGGTAAATACTACAATTGCCAATCAACACGTAGAGTGCGCCTGTTTAGGCTAGGTGGAGTCAATGGAGAGATTGGTGGAAAAACTACGTGAGTCGGTTTTCGCAGCCACACTTGCCGACGCAATTTTTGGAAGGATTGGTCGTGCCAGGAATTGGTAGACGAAGAAAAGAAGAAAGAGAGAGAGAGAGAGAGGGTGAAAGTGAGATATAAAAAAAAATTTCAGCTATCGTTTGATGGCTTTCCTACAGCTTTGAACAGCGACGACTTTTCCGTGCCATACATTATATAAACATTTCGTCATATTACACCCCGTCCGTAACGCTATATTAAATATTAGAGCTTTTTTACTATCGAAACAGGTGTCCGCAGTGGCATAAGCAGCAATTTTATTTTAATTTTTTATTTATTTTATCTACTTATTTATTTACATGAAACTAAACAAAATCAACAATGGAATTCAATTAACTCTTAGAAGCAAATCTTACACCGATTAAAGCCAAAAACTAATATAAAGTATATAAGGAAAAATTAGCAATCAATATATTAGTTTGGGGAAAAAGAAATCCATTATTTTTTCGGTAGATGGCTGCACTGATAGATTTCTCGTAAAGTATCGATCAAACAATTTCCGATACTGTACATTTACATACTGTACTGGATTCAAAAAGAAGCTCGATGTTTGGGTGCCACACCAATTAACAGAAAAAAACATGATGGATCGAATTTCCATCTGCGAAGCCTTGGCCAAACGCAATGAGATAGACCCATTTCTTAAACGGATGGTGACTGGAGATGAGAAATGGACCACATACGATAACCCTGTGCGAAAACGATCGTGATCAAAGAGCGGTGAAGCACCTCAAACGGTGGTCAAACCAGGACTAACGGCCAAAAAGGTTTTGCTATGCATTTGGTGGGACTGGAAGGGGATTATTTATTATGAGTTGCTTCCATATGGCCAAACGCTAAATTCTGATCTCTACTGTCAACAATTGGACCGTTTGAAGATAGCGATTAACCAGAAACGGCCAGAATTGGCCAACAGGAGAGGTGTCGTGTTTCACCAGGACAACGCTAGGCCACATACATCGACAGTGACTCGCCAGAAACTTCGGGAGCTTGGTTGGGAAGTTTTAATGCATCCGCCATACAGTCCGGACTTGGCACCAAGCGATTATCATCTTTTTCTTGCATTGCAAAATTGCTTTAATGATAAAAAATTGGAATCTAGGGAGGATTGTGAAAATCGACTACTAGAGTTTTTTGCAAATAGAGACCAGGACTTCTATGAGAGAGGCATTTTGAAGTTACCTTTAAAATGGCAACAAATCATACAACAAAACGGTGCATATTTGACCCAAATCGGACAATACGAAGCATGTTAAATAAAGTCCTGAAGTTCATATAAAAATAATGGATTTCTTTTTCCCCAACTTAATATAATAATTATCAACTAATAAATTCAAATATAAACAAATAAGAAAAAAAACGAAAGCACGTACACGACTAGCACCGAGGCACGCCCACGGCCAGTGCAGAACCAACAAATGGCAAGTGTACCCCTGAGCCATCGTAAACATATCAGAGCTTGGCAACCGATATAATAAACAATACCACTTAATTATTAAATCATAATGAGGTATTAGGGTTAAAAGTTAATTTAAATGCGACGTACGTAAATTATGAACTAATAGACATCGTTCAGGTTTCTGCAAGCAAATCTAAACGGGTTAAACAGCTCATAATTATATTTACACTGGCTGAGCTTAATGAATATGAAGTGTCTAGAGAAACGATTGGGAACGTTGAGGCTTATCTCACCAAGTAATATGGACGAATCAACCATTAACTTCATTAAGAAGGAGACACCAAGAATGAATCTACGTTTCTCCAGTGATGGTAAGGATAACAGAAGCAACCTATTTTCATAAGAAGGCAAAGAGACAAGCGGGTCCAAACCTAAATTGCTAAAGGCAAGCAGCAAGAATTGCTTTTGAACTGATTCAATTGAATTTACGTAACACCTATATGAGGGAGACCACATAATTGAGGCATACCGCAGTGTTGGTCTAACTAAGCGCATGTATAGCTTTCTTGTAATGTAAGAGTCCTTCAGCTCTTTGGACTTCCCCTTAGTGAAATCCAGCGCGGGCCTAGCTTCACTTAATGAGAGCTCAATGTGCAAATAAAACCATAATTTTTGGTCAAATAGAACTCCCAAGTCGATGAACGAATCAACGTTTCCCAACTTGTGTGAGTCAATGAAATACTCAGTACTGAATAACTTCCTTCTTTGGAAGGAAAGTTTCTTTCAATTTTTTAGATTGAACTTCATAAAATTCAACGAGCATCATGTAACCAAACTATTTAAGTCAGTTTGAAGCTGATACGATTGCGATTCCGAGGAAAAGTTAACATCGTCAGCGTGCATGAAGATCTGGCTGGACTTAATCACCGAAGAGAGATCATTAATGTATAAGTTAACTAATAGGGATCCGCAGGGACCGCAGTCGTTACGGGAAGTTCATTCAAGGTGATAAAGTTAAACAGAACCCTGAACGATCTGTTATGCAGATACGATTTTATCCATTTCACTAAATAGACAGAAATGTCGCAGGCCTGGAGTTTGAAAATCAGTAAATTATGGTTAACTAAGTTAAACGCTTTTCTAAAATCAGTATACACGAAATCCATACGAGAACCACTAGAAAAAGCTTTGAAAACATGGCAAGTAAATTCTAAGAGATTCGTGAGAGTTGATCCTCCTTTCCGAAAGCTATGCTGGCAAAAAGGTATATAAGATTTGATAGCAAAAGCTTAGTAACAATTCGCTCAAACAATTTAGATAAGACACTCCACTTGGCGTTGCCTCTATAGTTCTCTACGTGTATAAGGAATAAGGAAACTACTCTTCCAACACTCAGGAAAACCACCTAGTTTTAAAGACTGATTAAAAATTATTGCGATAACACCGCAAAGCTCGACGGAGCATGTTATAAGTATACACGATGGATTCCCATCAGGCCTAGGCGCAGAACTATATTTTAGAGACCTTTAAACAATCCAAAACATAATTTTGGCAAATGAACATGTTAGGAACCAAAACGGAACTAGTTATCGGGTGCGAATAGTTAATTAAATCGGAGTTAGAAGTTGAAAAGTTTCGTCGGAAGTAATCAGCAAAGAGATTCGAGACTTCAATATCACCAGACAACTAGAGCCAATGAAAAAAACATGCAGGGGATATATGGAGATTTTCCTTTTCGAGTTGACGAACTTGAAAAAATGTCCAGGATTAACGAGCAGTGAGGATTTTATCAATCGAAGATATCGGCAATAATATTGCTAGTTAAGATAATTAAATCTGTACTTTGATGCTGAATAGGCAAAATGGTCGCAAGAAAAGCCACTTTTCATAAGTTTTTTGAAAGTTTAGTTTTTCCTGTCGGAAGGGTTGCAGAAATAGGTAGGTCTATATTTCCAGCAGAGAAATCAAGCATAACGTGTGAGAGATCAGAGTTAAGCAGTAAAATATTAGTTTCGTTAAAATCATAATATTTATTGGATAAAGTTGGATTTGGCATGTGAGAGTAGTTCGATCGACCATCATGGCTATAATAAAAGGAAATACAAATTGATTGAAGGTATGGATCCTCGGGTAAACTGAAATGCGGACAGCGATTAAGAACTATCTCCGGGAAAATGAAAAAACAAAGATTTAGCAGTTTGCCACTACAATTAGGGATACGGTTGTATTGCAGTAAATTACGATCAAATAATTCATTGAAAACACAATGGATCTATCAGCTGTTGAAGTGGGACCATACAGCCAGAATTGTTACAATAGCACCAAGTGACAAATTGAAATCATCCAACGCTATGGCTATATCAGCAGGATTGGACTTTTCGACAACGTCACAAATGAGGTCGGCGTGATTCTTATAAACGGCGGTATTCGCAGTTGGGGGAATGTGGGAGCAAGTTACAAGTAACTGTATATCGGCAATTTTTGTCCGTATGTCAATTATTTAAACGACGGGAGGTTTAGGAATTTCAATTGAATAGGCCGGGACTGCAGCAGATATTTCAATTAAAACACCATCACCAGTGCGGTGCAATCGATGCTTTCTGAAAACCTGGAAAGAATTATGAAAAAATTCCGAAGAATGTAAATTCGTTTCAGTGAAGGATAAACAGAAAAACTCCACACACACTGAATTTAGGCAAACAGAGCGAATTTGTGAGTTTAGGCCTCTAACATTTTGGCAAATGAAAGTTACTGCGCCTCCAGAAACTTTTAGTTTTTTGAGAAGAATGGTATGTTTTGCACAATTTCCATATATCCAGTCGGAACTAGCACTTCAAAAGACGAGATAGCTCTAGGTTGAGATGGAGCCAATTTGAAAATGCTTACAAGTTTCAAATTGACAGGTGGAAATTTTAGAGCCACGTATCTTTTTATGTTATCAACAGTGGTGTCAGGCGCCAGTCTTGACAGGAATATTGCCTTTCTAGGGGGTGCTGCCAACATGCAGACTTTATCTCTACCAGAAACAATAGGATTTGCAGATAGAGAGTTTTCAGTTAGCAAAAATATGTTGTGGGTGACCACACTCGCAAGAGCAGCTAGCGCGACTTTTCCAGCCTGGTAACCAGCAAACCGCCATGAAACTCCCAGGGGGAGAAACGGAATTATTATTTTTGTTAATATTTGTCAAGAATGTATATAGAGTAGCCTGGATGGACTGGAGCACAGGTAGAGTGAGGAGGACTTCCTATTTTCTTTGAAATTTTTTTGTTATTAGTAACGGTCTCTCAACGATAGCGGAAACGCTAACGTTCTGCGCAGGCAAGGACGAAGCACTCGAATGGTTCGACGAATTAGATTTACGTGAAAACGGAGGTGAAGTATTATATGCTACACTGTGAGTCAGTCTTGTCCTAGGTGGGGGAGAAGGAGAATGCTCAAGATAACGGCATTAAACATTACCTTGATTTTCTCAAACTTCCCACACGAAGTGGCGAAATGTTTGCTCAGTTCGGAGACCCGAATCCTTGTTTCCGTACGTAGCTTGTAATAGTCAATATCTCGTTTCCTACAGTTGGGAAATGACCAGCGCAAATGATCAAGAAGAATGCTTTTATCGATTAATCTAAGGTAACCATTGCACAAAATGTCCCTCACTGCACTATTTCATTACTTACCCTGATTTTGATCCACGGGACTATCGGTGAATTGATTGTCAGATTCCACCGAATTGCCGTTAATCATTGTAAAGCATAAAGTAAACAAGAGGGCTGCTATCTGGCTGAACATGATCAACTTGAACATTTTTGACAATTTCCACGGAAGGTCTTCGATTGGCAAACACTTTGTGATCGCTGAAAAGAAAATTGAATATACGTAGATGCTAGTTTACACCAAAATTAGATTACCGCTTATATACTTATTCTACTATAATTGTATGGGAAATGGTTAAAAAACTATTTAAACCATTTTCAATATTATACGTGCTTGGGCCAAAGCACGTAGCAAATTTGATCGAGATATGTTAAAAATTGCGACCTGCAGGTCGAATGCAAGAATATAAGACGGACAGACAGACAGGCTTAGACTGATTCAGAAAATTGTTCTGCAGAAAGTATTTCTCCAAAAAGTTATTTTGAATCAATCGGTGTAATCGAGATCTTTCTTAAGTCCTTCTGGGTGTTGCATTCATCTTCTCAAACCTAATACTCCCTGGTACCACAAGCTATGAATGGCGTACATTTTTATCAAATGTATATCAATTAATCGAAAAGTTCGCGGCATACATTCAATTTTTCCTTAAATTGACACCAAACGTTGGAAAGCATGTTTTCGCGTATGGTCGCTACATACCTCATCTATTTGTATGTACGTATCAGAGCATTAGTCTGTTTGGTCTTCACAACCAACTTAACATGAATTCTAAATTAATGATGGTTGTATGCATTATAACATACATATAATATATATAGGAAGTTGTATGAAATATTCTTACATGCGATACTTCTGGCTGATAAGTGGCTGCATCCTATTACTTCCGCCAAACAATGACAGAAGGACACAATAATGTAATTATAACCGGTAGTTATGAGACAAAGTAATTTTTCAGGTATTTATGAAAATTTTTGCTAGTACATAAACATATATACGTTTGCGCTGAAACAAGAGATGGATGTGTTGTTGTACTGAAGCTAATTTAAAATTCGGTCTTGGTTATGCTTAATTTCATGGTTAATTGGAGGTTATTAATAAATATATTTTTGTACGCGTGTATTATTAACAACTTTTATACATATATATATATATAAATATATATATGCCAATGCGTAAGTAAATATGAGTGTGAATGCATTCGTTTATTTTTAAAGTTCAACAGTGTAAACGAATTAAATGACATAAGTATGTAAAATACGTTTACTTTACATATATTCGTGCTTACAATTCACCAGAGATCTTAGACATGACATGACTTTATTATAATGACCCAGCACATACAAGTTAAAGAGACATGCATGATACACCTATAGAGGTACAATACATACAAATATTACGTTGCTAAAGTTTGTCTTTTCAGCTGTTGAGAACACTTTTAAATCCGGAAGGAAAATTTATTTCGTGTTCTGAACAAAGCTTAAGTTTCTTTTCCTGTAGGATTGAGAACGTATGAAATTTGTTATAAACAAATTTCTTGCATTCAAAAAATCGTCGAACAATTTCACACTCAATGGTAGTGCATTCCAATATCTATAATAGCAGCACGAACGGTAAAAGGTCGTTCGGCTGATGATGTGAAATTATTATTATTATATATTAATATGAAAGAGATTCTATTCGGTCTACAGAATTGCCGCTGTTCTACTAAAAGGCGTGGGCATCGACATTGAATGGTCTTGTGCAAGTAGATAAGCAACTTGAATTTTAGATAATCGAGAAAGGAGAATTTTGAAGAAAGCACAACGAAGGAGGAGATGTGGTCTCTAAGTTTGGCGTTAAAAACAAAGCAAACAATACTATGAAGCCTCTCGAAGTTGTACCTTTGGCACACAGAAAAAACTTCAATAAAGTAGTGAACATCCGTTAGGTGAACGGGTGATGGGGGTTTGTTGAAGTTTTTTCAGAGTTGTTTTTAAAGTTTTGTGTAAAAATGTAAACTAAAAGGATGGAAAAATTTTTGGTATTAAAAACAATTTGAAGTAACGTTTTAAATGCCAAAAAAGTCCAATTTTGGATATATTTGGCGAAAATTGGTTTAAATATAAAAATTTGACATCAAAGTTAACTAAACCGTATTTGGATCACAGTCACAAACTCTATAAGGGTTATTATGAAAAGCAGGACTTTACGAGGTAATAAACTTAATTTTTGTACTATATTAGGAAAGAGGAAATAGGAATATATAAGGTCTTGGACAGCATTTACTCGCCCTTTACAGGGAAGTAAACACAAACAAGAGAAAATCAAGAAAGAAGCTTAAATATGATATCCTAGCCTGAAACACTAGGAAAAAGCTTAGAGAACAAATCAATTTCAAGACCGCCAAACAAATAAATTATAGTTGACTTTTACACTCCCCACTTTTCTCTTAAAAAGAAACTAAAAGAAACAACAAAAAATCGATATTTTGACACACTATAATATTGGATGGGAATGGCAGACTTTGTTCTTTTCTCTTGCACAATCTAGGTGGAAATCTTTATGTTGCCTCTCTTGAACAGAGCCTGACTCTACTGAAGGTTGCTTTAGGTTTTGCGACGTCAAGAGTGTACACATTCGCACGAGCATAACATGTCACACACCCCACAGGTTGTATGGGGTAAACAAAGCAAATTTCGTCGTGCTTGTAGTGATCGAGTAACTTTCGTATGGTACAAAGAAGGAAAAAACTAAAGTTACTATTAAGATATGTGCACTTTGTTTTCCAACATCCAAAGGCATGGCAATACATTGACTGCGCACGTTTACTTCTTGTTCAATCACCACTGCAGCAATCAGTAGAAAATAAAAAAAAATTGACTTAAATTTCGTAAATTATTGCGACTGATGAAAAACATTCGACATTACGTTGCAATTAGTTATATACATATAAGATAACTAGGAAAAAATACAAATTACGATTACAGTTGATTTATGCGTTTATAAATTATTGTGTTTCAATTCACTAAATTTTTAACCCTGGTTCGCATGCATTTGGTTCGACGAGCTCTGCCGTTCAATAGTCTGTTCAATTCGATCACATATGGCTGTGTTATTTAGCATGGAATATGCGTTGTTATAGAAGCAGGTGAAAGAGAGTAAAATAAAATCACTGGTAGCAATTAACAGTGAAACGCCTTTTCCAAAGTCGAATTGATTTTTCGCTATCGTAAGATGAGAGTTCATTACACTAAACTCTTTACTTCTTTCATAAAAAACTGAATGAGAGAATTGTTGGGGTATATATAGGCGTTTGCTATTAAAATGATAACAAAAAGAGTAGAAAGAAGTAAGAACATTGTAGTGGGACAAGCTCGACGATTATATACCCTATACCTCATTATCTAACAAAATCTTATTTTTCTTGTAGGGCACATTATATCACACAAGTTATATCTTGTTTCTATATAAACGCATATTTTTCATGTGCGCATTTATTGGGAAGCGGACCAAAAATGCAACCTAATGTAATGCAAGTTTTATCTTCACGTAGGGCAGGATCGAAAAATAGGCAGATGGTCCAAATTTTGGAGGGTTCATTTTTCTATTATGGGTTAATTTTCTTCATAAATATTAAAAAGTAGACTTACTTGCCGTACAAAGAATCACGTTTCGTGGAAATCCTTAAATGGGGTAAAGTTCAAAATATAGGCCGAGATGGTCCAAGTTTGGTACAGTTAATTGGTTTTGTCTTAATTTACTACTGCAATATGATCTTAATCATGAAGGATTGAAAATTAGACTTATTTGTCATATGAACTTTAATTTTCGCTTTATGAGAGGGAGTTCAAAAAGTTTGAACAGCCGGTCCAAACTTTTCACCTCACTTTCGAATGACGAAATACAATTACTTAGCCACTTTTGCCGAGAAATATTGACACTTGCAATTTTTTCCATGTAGCGACTTTTCAAAATAGGCCATTGTATTTATAAGTTAGTTGATCTGCATCAGTAACGAATCACAGGAAATATGTTCATTAACTTACTCACTCTAGTTGGCGAAAGTTGTTTAGCGCGCGTATATATCGTCTGTTTTGTCACCTACTTTAAAGAGCTCTTTTAAAAAAAACTCAAGTATCAGCTGTCAATTAGAATATTTTCCAATGTCAAACTTGTTGTTGTGTACTCGTACTAAAATGGATGTTTTTCTTAGGTAAGTATCATTACGCGCTTGAAAAAAAAGGGAAATATTTTAGGTTTTAATGACATACATATTAAATATTTTTGACTGGATGCATATAATATGCGTAAAGCTCATACATATTAAATGTGTTTGTGTTTGGGCAGCCGGCTTATAATTTAATAAAATGAAGAAGTGTTTAATTTGCAATGAAAACGTTTAGTTTTAGTGTTAATTTATGAAAATACATTGCACACTGGCTTTTACTTATGGCTCCAATAAATGCTTTTAATGAATTTCTTAATCTGCCTTAGCTGATGCAATATTAGTAATAACATTATATATAATATATTATATATATATAAACGAAATCATCCAGGTACAGATGTCTCTAGTAGTCTAACTTGAATGCCTATAGAATAACTTAGCATTACTATGCCCGATGACATACAGGTTATTTATGCGGGAACCGACGCCCCCCATAAATGAAGACAATCCCTATAAGGTAGAAGCCCCCTGCAACTGGGGTACCAGATTGATTTAAGGTGAATGACCACCAAGCCCACTGTACGGAATCTTGAGGCCTATCATCACCTATAATTATTCGCTAGAGAAATGGTAGAAAACCACAGCCACCACGACATTCCCCGAAGTTACTTACTACTTACAAACTTATCTAGGTGCCTGACATTGCTGGGTTAGTAATTCTCTTTACATACTTCAAAAATCTCTACAGGCAAGTTGGATGGCGGATAAGCGAATGTATGGATAAGCGAAACAGCAGATTAACTATGACAAGACTGGCATAATGCCGATTGCTGTAAGCATAATAGTGCAAGCCAAGAATGCACATAAGAGAGGACGCCTATCTTGATAAGTCGCACGCACGAAATATGCTCGCAAGCGTTTTGCAATGCGTATGGGAAGTGAGTATGAGAGCAACGAACCCACTGATTGCTGCGTACGGCATTTCGGAGCGTATCGTGTTGGCTATGTGGTTGCCCCAAACCGAATAGTTCGGGGGCCCTAAATA